GACTTCGTTTTTGAAATCTGTTCGAGGTCGTCGAAGGTCCGTTCGAGGTTTCGTTACCGGATCGTGGTTCCCGACAATTGTTCGTTTGAATAGTAATATTTTGAATCTCTGCTCTTTTTCAAGGTCCATTTTTGCTTCGTTTGCTTCTCCAGTTCATAATTTAATTAGTTCATGTGAATGTATTATTGATTGCTTTGTTTGTCTAATTTTAATGGACATGCATATGTCCTATTGAATTGTTTCTTTGTATTTGATCTCAAATTGAAGTTGCTGGCATGAAGTTCGAACAATAAAGTAAAGCAACATGAATTAGGCATCTAGAATGTGTGCTACTTAATGGGTTGCGGAATTGGTTTCTAAAAAATAAGCATTGGTTTTGGGCAAAATATTATATTGTTAGGCTTGGGATAATTCTCTAGCCTTGATTTCTATTTTATCTATTTGGGGTCGCTAGTAGTATGTTTTAGGCCGACCATGCTTGGGTAGGCAAACTTTAGGATTTTTGTTAATTTTGAGGCGAGAGGTCGTTCCCTTAGTTAAATTTATCTGGGGAATGCTCCGAAGGATTTGTACATATTTTTTTCCGAGGTATGCCCCGAAGAATTTGTATTCGGAGGTCGATAGTAGAATTCGTAGTATTTTTATTTTTATTTTTCTTTTATTAGGTGGGAACGACCTCGAGCCTCTTGTGTGTTTATTTTCCTTTTTCTGTGTTTTCTACCTCAATTGAATATTTTAAAAGCCAACTTGATCATGTACACAACCGTACTAGTTATGGGACTCGGGGAATGCCTAACACCTTCTCCCCGAGTCAAAATGAACCCCCTTACCCGAATCTCTTGTGTAGACTTAGTTTTGGAGTCCAAAGTCTTTTAAAAGGAAAATTATTTTTATATAAAAACCGTTGACCTGACACAACGAAAATAAATGTCAGGTGGCAACTTTGAGTAAATCCTTTTGAACACAATTTTGTCACTTTTTAATTAAAATCCCTTGTTTGAGCTTTACAAATCCTTTTATTATTTTTAAGAGGGTTAGTGAGGTTGTAAAAAAGGGGTGTGACACATATAAGCGTTAAATAAGCTTGAATAGGTGAGTAAGAACTCAGTAGATTCTTATGAGCAATAGTAACACTATAAACTAATAGACCAGATAAATTAAGTAGTCAATTCAGTTGAATAATATAATAGGATTATTAGACAGCCCATGACCCTAGATCATTTTCATTACATTGATAATATAAAAGTCTTCGTTTCCTTTGTTAAGAGTTCACCATTTGTTTTCTTTTATTGTAATTAGTCTAGAGTTACTATTTTTGGATTTAAATCTTGTTTAGATAATTAAGATAATCTAATATAGTTAATAATTAATAACAAGTTCTCGTGGGTTTGATATTCGACTTCTAGTCATTTTATTACTTAACGATTGCGTATACTTGCATGTGCGTTTAGTTACGACACAATACTTCGAGATTACAAATAAAATAATAGACACTTTTAAGATAATGTCTATCAAGTACGTAAATAAATCAAGAAATACTTAATTGTTTGATCAGCTTATAAGTAATCAATGTGATTTCCTAGTGACCGGATTGAGCTAGAAAGTTGTTATGAGGCAACAAAAGCAAGAAGAAAACAGAAGCAGCATAGTGCCCCACCAAGGGATGAATACCAGTTGAGAGGTTATTGAAGAAACAAGTTGAGAGTGGTGGCCAGTTTTCACTTTGACCTTTTGGCTTAATGATGACTGTTTTAGCATGCCTATTCATAAGCAAAACCATTAGTCCAGTGACATATTGAATACCCTCACCACCTCCCTATGACACAAAACATGTGCTCCCTATATGCCCATTTTCCATTAGACTTTTTTTTTTAAAATTTATTACTGCTATTCCCCCTTTTTCAGCCTGACATTACAAAGGTAGAAATCATCCACCGGACGCCCTGGCTTTCTTTTTAGTTTTCCATCTATCACCCAGCATCCAATATTTATATTGAGACCTAAAGTAATTAAGTTCGAATTTGTGCCTGAAGTCCCATACTAGGGGAAGGGAGGGGAGGGAAGAGGGGCAAAGTGCTCCATAAAAGGCGATGTTAATTATACCCAGAGCTCAAATTCAAAATCTTTAATTAAAAATATTAAAAATATTTATCACTCCATCGTAACCCTTGGTCAATCAAGCTAAGCCTTCAAATAAAACTGAGCAAAGGGAAAAAAACTTTTCCTCACGCTCAATAATATATCCTTCTATATATCTTTGCTGTTGACTTATTAGATAGTAGGTCTTTTGACCGGCTACATTGAATTTATTGTATTTTCTGTCACTTTATACCATAACAATCTTCCTTTCAATGATGTGTGTTATGGTTTTAAAGTCATTATCTACTCTTATTTTAAATAATATAAAGCTCCCAGAGGAACAATCTTGATTTGACACAAGTTAGTACATTTTGTCACTTCACTTTCTTTCTTTGAAAAATAATTAATTATAACATTTAGGTTAGTTTTTGCCGAGTTATAAAAGAATACTCCATAAGAGAAGGGAAAGAAAATGAGGGATGTAATTTGTGGGACTCAATAAGTTGATGTGCAAAAATGCTTTTTCAATCTTTTAATTAAGATCAAGTGTAATATATATTTTTATTAATTTAATATACAATATGTAAACCATCAACTCATATGATATTAACTCAATTTTTCGAGAGGAACAGGGCTATTTGGGACTTAATGTTGCATTATAGCACAGGCTTGTAGCACCTCACATTAAAGAAAAAGAGAAAAAAGAAAAAGAAAAAGAAAAAAAGTAGACCAGAAAGTACGTAAGAAACTAAGAATGCACAGAATGCCAAGATGATCATGGAACATGTAGTGAATCAAAGACCAAGAAAAACAGTGTTATGATAGGTGGGCTCCAGCGATGGATTAGTCAATAGTCAACTTAATGGTCAACAGCAACATTCGTATTATACACATAAATTGTTTTTTCTTCTAAAACCTATTCATTCCTTTGAACAAAAAGATAAACAAATGATGTTTGGTACATTCACAAGTTGAATGCGATTTTAACCATATAATTTGATTCCAAATATCCAATTAAATTCGCTCAGCCTTTTTCCCTTCAAGATATTATTCTTTCTTTTCTCTAAAATCAGATAGTTCTCCTTTGCTTTTCTTTTTTGGCCTCAAAGAGAAAAAAAAGAAAAGAAAATGTTAGACGGATTCTAGACATATATATCATTATAGCAATCTAGTTTATATGGATATTGTTTTGTCCGCTCATCATTTTTTGACTATGCATGCCCGAAAACTAAAAATAAATTAGCAATAAAAATAATAATTAATGGGGGTAACAACAATAACATCAATAATGTACTACTATAGAAAATAGGAACACACCATATAGACATGTGCAATTGTCTCATATACAAAGGAATATAACTTATGTACATTGATACTGTATAATATTTTACAGCATAAAGCAAAAATGACCTACCAACCATATGTAAATTGTAATTATATATAATAAGCCTAATTTGGTTACGTAGGAAATAAGAAAAATCTAGCAGAACAAGTTAAAACGCAAAATATATATGATATTATCGTGTACATAAGTTAAATTTTATGTATTAAAATAAGATTAGATAGTATTGAAACTGAGCCATATTCTCTGCAGAAAAGTCTTATTAAAACGCTCTCTTTAACCAATCAAATTAGAGGAAGGGAGCAGACATGATGAAGAGAAATTAAGAAAAACATATATCTAGACAAATGATAATGCAAATTTATTTGGTTCCTGAAATTTGCTTTTAGATGAACTAATTTTAGTAGAGTGCTTAAGTTTCAAGTCTTGTCAATTTCTAATACTAATTAATCTAAGTGTCGAGTATATACATACATAATTAATGTATACATATACAATTATATAGTATTATTTTAATTACAGGGGTGATGGTGGTCCATCAAGTATACTGCTTATTTTCCTTGCATATCAAGCAATCTCCATCTCTCTCTTCATTCTTTATTTATCTCTTCGTATATCTCTAAGCGACAATACATGCCAAAAGAATCATGATTACTACTCCAGCTCAAAACCCATGTGAATTCCTATCATTTTATTTCCTTTAACTAAATTATCTTTTGTTTTGTCTCACAAAGGAGCCTGCATTATTTTTTTATTTCTTTTTCAGAATTAAATTTAAAAAAAAAAACAGAAGCTCTTTTCGGTAAGAGAATCGAATAAATACATGAAATGTACTAGTAGTACTTTGTGAGCCAATTACCAAAGACAGTTGGAGTATAAATAAATATTCCTTTCAAAGTACCCCAAAAGGGATTGTTTCGTTGTATCTTACTATATGTTTATTTGTTCAAATTTATGCATAATATTCTATCAACTGATTTTTTTAAAGGAATACAAATTGATGTGGTATACTAGTGTTGGATAACCATGCTTTATTTTATATTGGAGTTTAATGTCTATCTAGTGATAATACAATTTTTCTTTAAATTTTACTAGGTAATGTAAAAGATAATTATAAAGCTAAAATTAAAATTAGTGACATGGAACCCTCACCAATAAGGTGAAAATTCAGGTACGTAGCTAACTATGATTCCCCGATACATGTTAAATTATATACTCCCTCCGTTTCAAATTATATGATGTACTTTCGTTTTACCTCTTTTACCCTTAATGAGAAGCTTTTATAACCACACAAAAGTCATGAACTCACAAATCTTTTAAGACCACAAATTTCAAAAGTTTTTTTTTTAAACTCCGAGTCAAACTACATCATCTAAATTGAAACGGATGGGATAGATACTATAAAATATTATGTATGTATATTACTCCTACTAAATTCATTGTTTTTTAGTTATAAAGTAAGAAATACAGAAAGCGAGGGGTGTGGGTGGGTGTGGGGGTAGGGGGTGGGGTTTCTGTGCTTTTGTGAAGGGCGTTCCGAAACTTTTGCTTTAGTAGTCAAGGGGACTCGAAACAAAGGTGTAAGAAGCTTGCTTTAGAGCTTTAGAGAGAGACAGAAAAAACCGACTCAGGTTTTCTCTCTTTCTTTTGCTTCCCTTCTCTCTCAAACACAGACACAGAGAGGAAAAACCGTCTTCATGCAGTGCTTAAATTAGCAAAGGAAGTTAAAGGTAGGGCATACAAGTAGAGATAGATAGAGTTATACTTTTTCTTTATATCTCTTAATTTTGGCTTCAGTTAAAGTAAGAGGGAATTCTGGTGTCCTTCAGGGGTTAAAGTTGGTTTTATATATATCTTCATTCCCCACCCCCCTTATTCTTCTCTCTTCTTTTCTCCCATTTCTTTCACCTCCATCTTCTCTGCCCTTATTCTCTCTTGGCCTTTATTTTCTAGTTTATTTTAATTTCTCCTGAGGAAATTACAAGTCTTAACTTGTTAGTATTTCTGCTTTTACTTAAATTTATAATAGAGATATATCTATCCATATTTAACTTGAATTATATATATGCTGCTAGCTTTTATACGATTTTCTCTTCTTGTTGAAGGGAGGGATCTTGGATTATATTAATTATTCTTTTCGTTTCTGAAAGATTGGTTTTAGTCCACAGGATTCTTGATATCAAAAGGTATTGCTTGCATACCAAAGTTGTCATGGAAGATTTTCAGCTGAGTTGATAGTAAAGGAATCATCTGTCTACCAATTCAAAAAAAAGAAGAAGAAGTCATGAGTAAGAGTAGTCATCAGTTGGGATCTATTAGTAGTTCTGATCTTATTGATGCAAAGCTTGAAGAGCACCAATTGTGTGGATCTAAGCAGTGTCCTGGGTGTGGACACAAACTTGAAGGAAAGCCGGTACGGTTTATTTTACTTTCATAATAGTACTACACTTAATATTCTTTGCTTCGTTACAAAGATTTCAATAATAATAAATTAAAATAAAGAATCATGCTTGCTACTCCTGAAGCTGCTTCATTAATATTATTTTCTTTAATCTTATATATTACTGGAATATTTCTTTCTCTAAGGCAATAATACTAATTAAATGTGGTCATTTTAAAAGGATGTCTGCTTGTTTTGATCTTCTGACTGTTTTCATTTTGTGTTTATGAAGAGTATTTTGGTTTTTAATTTAAATTAGCTTACATATTAATGGTATTTTTTTTTTTTTTTGGGTAGGACTGGGTAGGTCTACCAGCAGGAGTAAAGTTTGACCCAACAGATCAAGAATTGATTGAACACCTTGAAGCAAAAGTACTGGCTAAAGAATCAAAATCCCACCCTTTGATTGATGAGTTCATTCCTACTATTGAAGGAGAAGATGGGATTTGCTATACTCATCCTGAGAAACTTCCAGGTACACTCTTTCTCCACTAGAAATATGGGCAATTTCTTGTACCATAATTCAACATAGTTAGGTTTTACTATGTTTCTTTTCTTGTTTGCAAGGGACAAAGAAAAACTGCATTTTTTCTAGGGTTTGCAAGAAAACTTTTGAGTTTGTCCCACCTAAGTAAATCCAACATTGATAGAGTATTTGCTAACTGTTGTCTTGGTTAGGTGTTACAAGGGATGGACTAAGTAGACATTTCTTCCACAGACCATCAAAGGCATACACAACAGGCACAAGAAAAAGAAGGAAAATCCAAACAGAATGTCAAGACTTGCAAGCTGCAGGTGGCGAAACTCGTTGGCACAAGACAGGCAAGACAAGGCCAGTAATGGTGAATGGGAAGCAAAAGGGGTGCAAGAAAATTCTTGTCCTCTACACAAACTTTGGCAAGAACCGGAAACCCGAGAAGACAAATTGGGTAATGCATCAATACCATTTAGGCCAACATGAAGAAGAAAAAGAAGGTGAACTTGTGGTGTCAAAGATATTCTATCAGACTCAGCCAAGGCAATGTAATTGGAGTAACACTACTACTAGCACTACTGCTGGTGGAGAAGCGAGCAGTGATCTTAATAGCAGAAGAGATAGTGGCAGTGGGAGCTGTTCTTCATCTAAGGACATCAATAATAATATCCCTTCTTCTCATAGGGATGAATTGTCTGCTGCTGTTTGTGCTGCTATGTCAAGTTACACTACTATGGATATTCAACAATTCAAACCTGAACATTTTAGCTTTCTCCCATTTAGTAAAAGCTTTGATGAGGTATCTGATCTATTCTTTTTCTTTTGTTTTCCCTTCATTCTCATTCTTCACAACAATTTACAGAAAATCATGTCAATATATATTCTTCTGTAATGTATGTCATTATTCTCCATTTTTTGTCTTGATTTCTTATGTGGGATATGAGGCCATTTTCGTCACGTGATATGTAGGAGAGCAATAGTATTTGGTCCTAAGACTTAACAACTATTTAGCTCCATCAAACGTCAAATTCATGCTAGCAAAGAAGGAAACAATGCACAAGCAAACAAGCTATTCTTTTTAGTTTCCGCTTACACATTCCTTAAATAATTAAGAAAAAGTTAAAAATATACTAGACTTGCTTGATAATAACTGTCAGTATTTTATTCTCGTGGTTAAGATATCAAAAAATAAAAAATTATTCCAGTACCAGTAATAGTAGTACAAAATAAAACCAAAGATAAAAAAACTGTAACATAAAAAAAGTGTTTGACAATGCAAACTATTGCAGGCAGGCGTTGTAGTAGGTGAAGCTTCAATTGCGAGGGAAGGTGGTTCGGCAGCAGCAGCAGCTGCACCGGTAGGCACGTCAGACGCGCGAGACATTCACAAGCCACATCATGTAACTCATGACCAACAGCTGCACCAGCACCAGCACCAGCATCAACACCATCATCAGGTTGCAACCGCATCATTCCACATCAGCAGGCCGTCACCCCCAATATCAGCCATTATAACTCCGCCTCCTCTCCATAACACTTCCATTATTCTCGGCCATGATGATGCCTTCCATGTTCCCAGATCAATAATCCTTCCAAATGAAAACTTTCAGGTAACTGCGAAAGAGAATAATTTTCGTCCTTATTTTTTTTCAATGAAGTAGGGACCGTTAAAAGAAAAGAGAATTCTTACGGATTGATTCTAACTTCTCTATGATAAGAACCAACTTTTACATTATCAGATCACCTAACATGATAACAATGTAAAGGATTCTTATGGATAGATTTTAACTTCTAATAAAGAACTAATTTTTACATTATCAGATCATCTAGCATGATAAAACATGTAACTTTTCATAAAAAGTGAGATTACTAATTTGGAAGATAAAGAAGGTTACATGTTACAACAAATTAAAATAGAACGTATACAATTTCTTTATTGTGTCAATATTGACTGACCTGTCCATAGGGCCTTTAAAAAAGAAAAGAGAAGAATTAAGGAAGTAGAGATGCATTAGCAAACATGATGAGTTTAAAAAAAAAAAAGGAAACAAGAAATCTTCTCTTGCCTTGAGGTGTTTACACATCCTGTTTATTGCAGACAATACATGATCACACATATGATTATGTTGGAGTTTTGTTCTAATTGAGTGTATCATCTTTCGGCAGCAACAGCAGCAGCAACAACAGCAACAACATCATAAACTAGAAGGAAGGTCTGCATCTGAATTGGAACAATTAATAATGGGCTGCACTTCTACTGATATCAAAGGAGTAAGTTTACACCAACTTTTGACCCTTGAATTCAAGATTTATCATTCTTATTGTATATCATAATCTTCACGATGGACAAAGATTAATAAGGAAAAAAGGAAAGGGATGGGTTGGATAAGAAAGTAATTTGCTTCTTTCTTTGGCTATTATTTTAACAAACAAAAGAAAAGGAGCTAGAGGTGTAGAGGCCTTTTCCTTTATCTCTTTATCTCTTTATTCTTTGCAAATTTTATGCTCCTATAGTAAGATTACGGATATTGGTACCACAAGCGATATCAAAATAGAGCTTGCGAATTTTTGTTTACTACTAATCCAGTTATGTGTCACTTTTTTTCTTTTAAAGAGTGATATCTATATATATTTAAAATAATTTAACTTTAAACTTTTGATTTTCATTAAACACATAATGTTGTAACTACATAAATATTAGAATAATTAGCCTAAATAGTTATTCATCCAATCACTTAAACAAAAAATAACCTGCGATATAATATATATATAAATGTTTATAATCAATGTATAATCTATCTGTACCAGCTAAAAAAAGTAAAAAGTGAATTTATCCGATTATTATGTAAAGATCCCTAAATATGGAGCACTAAAATATATTTAAAATTATAAATTTAAAAAAATCTTTTTTAGGTTCATGTAAAATGAAACAGAATGAATAACTTTTTAATAGGTGTCCAAAATAAATCATTATGTGAATGGGACAAATGACACTCAATTGCATGCATGGGATTCAGCAGTCAAAAGGCAACTGTGATCAAACCGTTTTCTTTTCCCTTGCTTTCTTTTCTTTCTTTCTATTAACACAAGGAAACCATATATACGCACAAAGAAAAAGAGTTGGCTCTCCCTTATTCCCTTCCAAATCTCCTTTAGCTCCTCACGTCTTTCCTCTCTCCTTTACCCCTTCCAAATGGCACCATTTTCTTCTTTGTTTACATACTATATCTTTCACTCTTTCCTTTCTCCTTCCCCTTTTTCATATTTGGACAAGCTTATGATTTTGGATACCCTGGTTCCTGTTATCTTTTGCTTTCGCTTTAGCTTCAAATTTTAGATGTTACATTCCCGTTGAATTAGTAGTCATGGTCAGATTTGTTTAGCTCAATGGAGCTATATTCACACTTTAGGCATAAACAAGAAATAAAGGACAACTAAAGCCCCTTCCTTAATGAACTTCAGAACGTCAAGTGTGTCAATAACAATATATTTGCATTTGGCTTATATTCTCCAGCATTCCTAGATTGGTTTCTTTTTTCTATTTGTAACATCAGAAAACCCTCGTTAATTCTCCCCCCTTAATAATGGGTAGGGTTAAATTTGAATGGAGGACTTCTAGTTTCATGTTTAATTACTCATGTAAAAACTTAAATTATTATAGGTGAAATATTTTTATTTAGTTATGTTTAACATTTGGGCCTACTCCAAGTATGAAATCTCGAGGTGTTCATCGTGGAATGTGCAAAAAAAAAAAACCTTTCTTCCAAGTTCCAACAACCTTTGAATAACAAAGAAGTGGCTTGCGGTTAGCCATTAATTAGGCCAAGATCCACACATTAATTGCTCCCTGCCCTGGCTAAGAAAACCGACGTAAAACACAACAATATATTTATGTATATAAAGGGTAAAGAAAAGGAAGATATTACTTTTATATGTGGGCATGTGCGGGTGATTGTGAAAAATACAAACCCAAAATCTTTCATTTGAATTCTGCTTGGTTTCATTTGCAGGATCAGTCATCCATCACAAACCCTCAAGATGCTGACTGGTTGAAGTACTCACACTTCTGGCCTGACCCTGACAACCCCGATCATCATACCTAGGAGCATAAATTCTCAAACTATAAATACAGGAAAAGCCAACTCCCACATATATATATCATCATTAGTACTTCAAGCCTTGTTGAAGTTTCCAGAAATAAGTGACCAATTCAACTATATATATGCTTCTTTTCTCCCTTTCTTTTTCAACTGAATGCTGACCAAAGCTACTCAGATCTGATAGCTGAACTGAACTAACAGTTCAACAACCAATGTTGGAAAAGCCCAGAAAGTTACAAGAAGAAGCAAGGAGTAAAGGGAAGAGACTAAGAAAGGCTGCTCTCTTCTGACAAAATACAAGAGCCAAAGCGAATGCATCTGCATGAAAATCATCACCACTATGATTACGATATCATCTTTATTTCCCTTTCTTATTATTTGATTATTTTTTATTGTTTTTATCTTTTTTCTTATATAATTTTTTTTAAACATGAAACACCATAGGAATATCTGTGCAAAGTGCACACCGAGCTTTGTTAATTATGCCTATGGACAGTCACTTTTTAGAGTAGTATACTTTCTTTTTTGGGGTACAACATATTTCCCCTAATAGAAATGAAATGTGATGTTGATTCTGTATTCCTATTGGGCCTTTACTTGCGCACAACTTTTGATGATGTAAATCGAGTTAAAGCAGCATCAAGTTAGCGCCTAGTTGGTAACAGATCCAATCTGGAGTACTACTTTAGTAGTTAGTATAGTTACGTAACCTTTTGCTTTTCTCATAGATATACTGCTACTCCATGAAGTTATTTGTTTCTGAATTTTTTTCCTACTATGACGCTACCAAATCACCAGATACACGAGTAAAATCTATTTCAAATTTAAAAGTAATATAGACATATTGCACGATTGACTATTCTCCATAAAGGATTAAACTTTGGGAATTAAATTCTAAGATCTTCATTGCATTTGAATTAGATACGTTATGACCTCTATATGCAGTAGCTAGAGAGCACACAACTGATGTTTTATATCAATGCCACAGGGGATTTGTGTGGTGTCCAATTTTTCACTTAAATTGATTATGGAAGGACCTGGTTCTTCTAAGTGTTTCATAACCTACTATTGTTGAAATAGTAAATGCGTAAAGTAAAGGACACAAGTATTTTACGTGAAAAATACCTGACTCAAAAGGTGAAAAAAACCATGATCTACTTCCCAGTAGAATTTTCCCGACCTCTCCACTAAATCACTGAGCCAAACACTGTATTTACAAAACACTTTTGCAAACCCAGGATTAACTCTAATCCCGTTGTGGCAAACAACCTCTAACTGTTGCGACAACTTCAAGTTAACTCTAACTTAAATACTCAATGTACCTATTACAATTGCCTCTAGATAAAGCTGAAAGGTACAATATGAAAACACCTACTACAATTGAACTAGGATAAAAAAACAAACACTTGGAACTGGTTCCTATCTGGTTCATGTAGCTTCAGGTTTGCACACTTGAATCACACACAAACTTCTTGCAAAATGCATTGCTATTTTGCTCTCAATTCATGTTTAACTTCTGCTTTTGCGCATAACCTGTAAAGTGAGAACATCCTGCGATTTATAGACCTAATAGAATAGAAAATAACTAGAGTTCTAATGCTACTCTTCCTTGGTGGAAGAGTTCTAGTTGATCTCAACTTCTAACTCCTCCCTTATCTTGAATAGTGTTCTCTTTGAGTAAGGAGTCCTTCTCCTTATCAATTATGCAACCTTTTCCCTCAGGAGATATGAAATATACCAAGTTAAGCTTATTTCCTTCACGTTCAGCCCACTTGCTCGAATCTGTCCATGTCTATGCACAAAAGGGATGAACCTGGTTCATGCCTGAGCTTCCTTTGTCAATCTTCAAAACAAACCTTCACTTGGGCCAATAAATTTTCCCTTTTTGATGATGACAAACTTTGTGCTTTTTCATAAGCTTAGGCCCTGTTTCAACTAAGCTCAACATCAACACAATGTTAGAAATATTTTTCCTTTATATCACTTATCATCAAGGACCAGGTACATTAGGTTATAAACATCACTATTCAAAGTTTAAAGCACAACCATTTCCCCCCTTTTGGCATCATCAAAAAGTTGCATAAATATGTAAAATAACCAGATTTTAAAACTTACTCATGGCCACTGGGTGTATTTCAAATGCAATCATAGATTAATCATCATAGATCAAGCTAAGAATTTTAACCATCAAAGAAATATAAACAAACAGTTAGAGCAAAAGACATTGAATTTCATTGATGATTGATAAGATTCTACCATAAAGCATAAGAAAAAATAAAAACAGTAGAAACATGAGAAAAGAAACAAAAAATTCCGAACTGGGCCACTGGTTGATCTACACTAGGCTAGGAGGCTTAAGGCTGGGAAGGACCAGGTTCTTGGTTTTTGGCTTGGAGTAGTTTCAGCATATCTTGAAGAATGCCATCATTCTTTTCCTTTTCTTTTGTCAGCTCAATTATGAGAGCATCTCTCTCAGTCTTCATCTCTGACAACCTCTTCTTCAGCCTCTCATTCTCAACATCCTTAGCCCCACTTTCTTGTACCAAGGCTCGCACTTTGCTATTCACTGTTACCTTCTTGGATGAACCAGTTTTTTTAGGAGTGGTTTGGACTTCATAGTCACAAGCAGTCATAGTATTTGCCCCAAAATAATCCTTGCTTGTTCAAGCCTCCCACTTCTTCATAGGAACCTTGAAGTGTGCAAGTACAACCGTGAGAATAAAGCCATAGGGTATGACATGAGTCTTGGTGCCATTTAGAACCATATCAAGAAGCTGGATTATAAACCCAGTCTAATTAATCTGCCACCCATGTCCAAACATTCCACGAGCACCAAGTCCATGAATGTGGCAATGTGCCTCCTTTCCTGCCTTGGCAGAACACATTTGTTGACAAATTCAAATAATACTTTGTGGGGTGGCTTCATCTCACTCTTGTACACAGCCTTGGGTTCAATTTCCTCCTCATTGCCACTGAATTTTCTGGTAATGGCAAAGGTAGTAGAAAGATTTTCTAGGTTGCCATTTTAGCTTTGTATATTCATTGTACCATGCAACAGGTACACCCAGAATTTCTCCCAACTCCTTCACATCAAAAGAGACTTGCACTTCTTTCACCGTACTAGTAACCCTTCCATTTTTCACCTAAGCATATTTCATAAACTCAACAATTTTATTCCTGGCCAACCCTTCATCCATCTGAAGGACCATGTCCTTCCAGCCTTGCAACTCCAACTTCTCCAATAGCAACACCATTCCTTGCTCCTCCAATTCTCTGAGAAGTCAGTCCTTCAAAATTGTCCTCTTGCCAAACTTGGCCATCTTGTCTTTCTCAGTGCCAAAATCATCTTCTTCCTCTCCACTCCATTCTTATTCTTCAACCATTTTCACTTTTTTTTTGACTTCACAGTAGACCATATTCTTTTTTCCAAGGTGGATGGTTCAACATACTTTGACTCAGAAACATACTTCTTAGTGGAAGTCTTGGCTTTCTTGGGTTTGGGAGTCAGAACCCCTAGTTTTTTAGTCTCATCTTTATCTCAAAGGACCATGTCCATCTCATCAATATCAACTGCCTCAACATGCTCACTCATCTTCTTCTTTCCCTTAGAAATTGCTTTTCTTCTACTTTCTTCTAGGGCTTTCTCCAGTTCTGCCTCATTCTGCTTTTTCTGGCTTCTTGTAGCTCTACCTCTTGTGGGAGGAATTTCAACAGGAACAGATGGGGAAACCTTCCTTTTCTTGTTTGCCCTAACAGTGCCAGGGGTTTTAACCTTTGATTTTCTCTTCTTATTTGGGTTATAACTCTCAGTCACCTTTTTCAGTAGATCTGCTAGGGTTTCCTATTCAGATGGAACATGTTCATTTTTCCCAAGTTGAACCAACCCTTTAGCAGCTTCACCAAACCCACTTCCCCCCAGTTTCTTTACACTCTCCTCTACTCTACCAGATTTCTCTCCCCAAACAACCATTGCACCTGTGTCTTTTGTTAGACCACTAGGAGTGGGTGAAGAATCAACCACTTTTTTACCCTTTCCCCTCACAGCACTCATAGTATCCTTTTCTCTTTTTCTTTTCCCTTTTCATTTTTACCACCAACTTCTCCAAATTCCGTAGTCTCAACACATGCTATACACCCTACTAGTACAAATCTATACTCCAAATTTGCAGCAACTTTAGGAATTGTCTCAGGAGTAACATTAAAACAAGAAGATACATGTTCAGTTTCGGAAGAACCACTTTCTCCCCCCTCAGTAGCATACTTAAATGAATCTTTAGATTTTTGGGATTCTTCTTCCCTACATGTTTTCAACTGTTTGTTTATTTTCTCGATCTACTCTCCTCCAGTGCCAATCTTACGAGCCATCATTTTAACTCTACTTTTCTTAGAGATTGGTATGGTTGACAGAGTGGTAATGGGTGTAGAAGTGGTTTCTTATGGTGGTGATGAAGGGTTTTCAGGATTGTTGGCCATTTTTGTGCTCGGTTCTGGAAGAAAAGAGAAATAGATTGTATTTGGAAGATTAGAGAAGATGGAGAGTGTTTGACGGCTTGAAAAAGTAGTGGAGTAAAGAAATCGATAATGTTGATAAATATAAAGAGAGGTAATTAATGGATAACGACAACCTTTTCAAACTTTTAGAAGTCTAATCAAACTGAATTTTAGCTTTGAAAAGATGTTGGACTCTATCCCTAATATCTAGGTAGTTTAATTCGGTTAGGAGTCTTTGAGCGGAACTGGTTCACTTGTAACAGATAAGTTCAAAAGAACTTTGGAATTAGACAAAACTCTGCTCATGATCCAAATATAATTATTTCAAATTATGCAGAGTGTAGAAAACATATCTATTTATCTTGATGTACCAGGTTCTTCACTGAAAATTCTCTCGTGTAAGTCTAAATTTGCCAAAATAAAGAAAATATCATTAGAGATTAATGAGTCATTTTAGCACATGGCACATGAGTATACTATTGAAAGTATGAGACCGAGCAAGACTTAATCTAATTATATACACAATTTACACACTTTCTAACCAGATAATTGTTTTTAAATTTTTTTATCATTATTTTGTTTAATTTTGACTTGGTCCTCTTAGGTGATCTTAACCATCCCTGATTCCAACCTGTTCCTCTCAAAGTGATCTCTACTTAAGGCTTTTGTAAAGATGTCAGCTATTTGCTTGTTAGTAGCACAAAAGTCCACAGTGATCAAACATTTCTCATAGTTGTCTCTCAAAAAATGGTGCCTAACATCTATATTCTTAGTTCTCTTATGATGAACCGGGTTCTTTGCCATACTAATGACACTAGTGTTATTACAGAATATAGAGATACAACCAACATCAATTCCAAAGTCCAATAATTGCTGTTTGATCCACAATAATTGAGCACAACATGAAGCAGCAACAACATACTCAGCTTCAGTAGTAGATAGGGCCACTGAATTTTGCTTTTTGGTAGCCCAAGAAACAAGACATGAACCAAGAAAGTGTGCCATACTTGAGGTGTTCTTCCTATCCACAAGGAAACCTGAGCGTCAGCATATCCCACTAGGTTGAAATTATTACCTTTTTGTTATCAAAGA